TTTATAGCTCCAGTCCGACCAGGTCCAGCCCAAAAAGAGTGCTTTCTGGGTTGGATTTAACCCTCGGGGCCATTCTGACAATGACAAGCTTACAGCCCAGGCAGGAATGGGCCATGGAAAATTTCATTGTTTGGTGGACAGGAAAAGAAAAGTTGGCACTAATTCCCCAACGCGCCAGTGCTCCGTAAAATTGAGCCTCAATCTCCTGCACTCTCGTTAGTGTGAGACAGGATGCTCTTCCATTCAACTTTTAATACGCCAGCCACACATAATACCCAGGTCTCACATGTGCGAAATCATCAAACAGTAGGCCATTCCTTCCATTATGCCCTCTTTCTCATTTTTCAAATGTAAAAAATAAAATAAAAAAAGAAAGAAAGAAAACAGGTTTGAATGCCCAATATGAGTCAGATGAAGAGAAAAATGGGAAAAAGTAAAACCATTGAAGAAAAAAACCTAGTTCTTTCATCAGCGGACCTCATTTAGCCCATGGATATATCTCGTGCTCTTATTTTTTCACAGTCACCGTCTCTCATTGATACAGTGGAGTCAGTGAGAAACAATAGATATCTGATATCTATGGCTGGACCAAGATTTTTCGTGACGATTGGTACTTCTAAGAAGAGTGAAAGAAAAATGGAGAGATTTCGGTTTTATCACTTATTGTAATATCACCAATCAGGAAAAGAATCACCTATAATGCCTATTTTGTCAAGAAGGTTACAAGGTTGTAGAGAGATTCATTAAATCACCTTTTGAAGCGCTTAGCTTGTTTGACCTTCTCCTCTTATGCTGCATCTTGTATCCATAATATTGTAAATGTTCTAAACCATTCAAAAAATTTCTCTGATTTTTTTCATGGGGTGATTGTTGGTGGTCTTTCAAGTCACTGGTCTACTTTCCCATTGAAGAAGAAAGGGGCTCTATTCTAAATGGTTTTCTCCTTATTCAAGGAAGAAATAACTAGGTTTTCTTTTCAATGTTTTTTCCTATTTCTTTTATCCTCTTTGCCAAACTGATAAACTAAATCTATTTTTAAATTTCTTTTAATTTTTATCTATGTCTATATTTATACTACTTATAAAAGTGTGAATGAAGAGGTATTGACTTTTGGAAATTTTCTTTATTGAAATATCTCTTTTCTTGAATTTAGTTCGTCTCCATTGAAAGGGCAGATAATGTAATTAAAATAATACTATTAAGTACGTTCAATTACCTCTCATTAAGCCTCACATTTAAGTCATTAAATAAATTACATTCTCTCTCATTGAATCCAACATTTATACTTTTGTTTATCATCATTAAATTCCAGTAATAAATCCATACACAATAATTATTAATAGAATGAAATTTATATTTTTAAAATAAACATGGAAATGAAATATTTTTCATCTAGGTGGTGGGTAAGTAGTTCAACCATTTGAGTCAAATGGATAATTCCATAATATCATAAATAAATAATACAAATTTAGAAAAATAAAAAATACTTTTGTTTATCATCATTAAATTCCACTAATAAATCCATACACAATGATTATTAATAGAATGGAATTTTATATTTTTAAAATAAACCTAGAAATGAAATCATATTTTCCATCTAGGTTGTGGATAAGTACTTCAACCATTTAGGTCAAATGGATAATTTCATGATGTCATAAATAAATAATACAAATTAAAAAATATAAAAAATATAGAAAAAAAATTTGGAAAAAATTAGACATGTTTCTATTATTATATATTTGTCATATTAAAAAATAGCTATGATAAAATAGACATAATTTTATTATTGATGGACATCAAATATACAGCTTAAAACCGATGGGAAATTAAACTATCTTCCTATCTAGGGGTGGGTTAGTGATTCAACCTTTCAGGTCAAATAGGTTAACCAATGATGTATAATTAAAAGAATTTTTTTTAAATAGAATAGTACAAAAAAAATGAAATAATTTTGGGCACATCTATAATATTATATACTAATAATATAAACAAAAATAAGTATGATAAATAATAATTATTTTATCAATGATATAAATGAAATGCACAATTTAAAACCATTTTGAAAATGAAACCATTTCCATATATAGATGGTAAGTAGGTCAATGATTTGCCATTTTGGGCCAAATGGGTCAATCTATGATGTCATAACTAACGAATGGGTCAAAATATAACCTTTGTATAAAACATTTTGATACAATTATATTGTTATATATTCACCATATTAAACAAAAAAATATGAAAATAAGAATTACTTTTATCGATGATGAAAATGGAATACATGATTTAAAATCAACTGAAAAAAGCAAAATAGTTTTTCAATTCAAGTGGTGGGTTAGTGGTTAAAATATCCATGTCAAATTGATGTTATTATTAAATAATAAAATACAAAAAATTATAGAAAATGTAAAATTTTGTTGATAATTTTGGGTACATTCTATAATATTTTATATTAATCATATAAAAAAGTATGATTAATTAGAATTATTTTCACTAATGATAGAAGTGGGATAAAAATTAGGACAAAAAATGAAGAGCATTAATATCTAACACATGACCCGACTAACCATGTCAAATGGTTCAATAATTTAATTACATAGGTTGTCGTAGGCAAGTGGTTTGGTAGGGATGCAAACATACCAGATCAGTATATTCAAATCTAATTTGATCCAAAAATTCAATCGGATCTCATAAATATTTATTTTAATCCGAATCCGATCAAAATGTCAGATATTCAAATATGATACAATCTGATTTAATTTTTTAAAAAAGTAATAAATTAATAAAAGAAAAAGGAAAATATAAGAGTTAAAATAAAAAAACAAAAATATAAGTATTTTTCAACTATTTCCATCATATAAAAAGTTTACAAAAATGTAATATAAATAACATATTTATAAATAAATAATAAATAACATATATATATATTATATATAAATAATATAAATACTATATATATAAATAATTGATTTGACCATAATATTAAAAACCAATGTTCAAACAATATATTAGAATTGCATTTCCTCTTGGTAATAAAAAATAAAAATATAGAATTTTTTTATAAATTTTATAAAAAAATTTGAGCATACATTAATATTATATATTCTTCATATTAAACAAAAATATGTTTGAAAATATGAGAATTATTATTAGTAAAGATAAAAATGACAAAAATACAAAGAAAAAATGAATTAATTTCTTAATCATAGTCCATTTTCTTGGTTAAATAGGTTAACGGTTCAACCAGTAAGGTCCTTTGGTTACTAATTATTATCATCATCATTTGATAATGCCACGTTCAAAAATAAATGCAAAATAAGATTTACTTTTATTGATGATGAAAATGTAATACATGACTTAAAATCAACCGAAAAAGAAAAATGGGTTTTTCCATCTAAGTGGTGAGTTAATGGTTCAACTATCCATGTCAAATGGATCAACACATGATGTTATTATTAAAAAATAAAATACATAAAGTTCTAGAAAATGTGGAAATTTGTAGATAATTTTGGGTATATTCATATAAAAAAGTGTGATTAATGAGATTTATTTTCATTAATAATAGAAATGAGATAAAAATTAGGATAAAAAATAAAGAGCATTAATGTCTAACACATGACCCCACTAACCATGTCAAATGTTTCAATGATTTAATTAGATAGGCCATTGCAAGCAAGTGGTTTGGTAGGGATGAAAACAAATAAGATCGAATTCGAATCAGGGTAATATTTAAATTTGATTCGATCTGATCGGATTTCATAAATATTGATTCAAATCTGAATCCGATCAGGATGTTGGATATCCGGATCTAATATGATCCGATTTAACTTAAAAAAATAATAAATTATTAAAAGAAAGAAAATATAATAATCAAAATAAAGAAAAAAATAAATATTTAAAAGCTTACAAAAATGCAATATAAATAACATATTTATAAATAAATAATAAATAACATATATATTATATATAAATGATATATCTATATATATATATATATAAATAATTTATTTGACTATAATATTAAAAACCAATATTCAAATAATATATTAGAATTGCGTTTTCTCTTGGTAAATAAGTAATTTTTATTATGTCATAAATTAAATAACAATTAATGATAAATAAAAATATATAATTTTTTTATAAATTTTATAGAAAAATTTGAATATGCATTAATATTATATATTCTTCGTATCAAAACAAAAAATATGTTTGAAAAATAAGAATTATTGTTAGTAAAGATAGAAATGACTAAAATATAAAGAAAAATGAATTAATATCTTAATCATAATCCATTTTCCTGGTTAAATAGTTTAATGATTCAAGCAGAAACGTCATTTAGTTAATATAACAGGAGAGGAGAGGCAATAAACGGTTTAATGACTTCACCCATATGAGAGATGACTGTTGTAAATAAATGACGCGTAAAACAGTGAATGAAAGAGCACTCCATCTCACACACACCAAGAGGAGTGCAGGAGATCCCGACTCCGTAAAATTATTACCTTTTAATTGCAAGAAGTAGAAGAAGTAGAGAATATAAGCTAAGGCTTTGCAGTTTCCACTTGAAGGTTTTTCTGCAACATGCATGGGTCATGGGCCTCATATACTTAATGGGCTGAAAATTGAATAAGCTGTCCCGGGTCCCAACTCCCAACCTACACAACAAAAATCTGGCCCATCCACTCAAAGAAGAAGAATGCCCACTGCAATAATTAAAGGACCCTCCATGTACAACCTGGACTGGAGTGACGACAAAGAAGGGTCTTTGCCTCTTTGGCATGGTAATGAACCAAATATCCAGCAATGGAAGTTCAACACACAGTAGAGGGTTTTGATGTTCAACCTGAATCCCCCATCCGGCTGTCCAGAGACCGGTCGGAAACTAGTCAACTGGAACGCCGGTGGTGGTGGAGCATAAAAGGGCGGGAAAGTTGCTTTTGTTTTGTTTATTCGTAAACTTGAAGTGGTCTTGCTATTTAATTTATATTTACTCTACACTCTCGTACGACTCAAATGACTCGAAATTCAATTAAAACTAGCCACCCCCGAAGCTAAAGCACATTACAGATATAGGTCCATATAAAGCAAATCACAGGGATACCAACCCAAACATGACGTAAAAGAGTAACACTACTGCAACTACCATAGTAGTACTACCTTCTAGCTACAGTAATATTGAAGAACCACAGTCCACAAACAGAAGCCGATCGATGACAAATTAAAACGAGAAGCTTTATCAACTCTTCTCTGGTAGTGGTATAACAGAGTCGCTGTAGCCTCTAATCTCTAGTTGTGTGGTGTCGTTGCGAGCTGGCTTACTAAGGGCACTTGGTCCTGTTGCCGTGAGTCTTCATATCGGTGTAGCAGGTGCCGCACATTTCTCTGTTTCCGGAAGTCCCCGGCGGAACACACTTGCACCTCCTGCAGCATGTCCCGCATGCTCTTGTGCACAAGTTCGGTCTCGAGTGTAGGCTGCACCTCACCTTGCACAACCCATCGCAATCTACAACAACAAATTAAAACACCCCCAAAACAGAACAGAAAGCATCATTCACAGGTTCCCCCAGTTGGATTTCTGAATCTTGATGCATGAATGAGACGCTTCTCCTTCATAAAAAATTCAGAAAAGAAAAAGAAGAATACTCACCCATGAACTGCATAAGCCTTCTGTTCCCACCATTCGAAACAACCTGCAGACAAAGGCAGAAGAGAAAATCGCGCTTATTGGTGGGTTAAAGACTTAAAACATTTTCCAAACTCAAATAAAATTATAGAAAGGAACATCCAAATGGTTTTTGATTGATATCAGACCACAGACCTGGTCAAGATAGTTCGTTTCGCCTTCTATGGCAACATTCGACGGAACCTACAATATACAAGACGCCACATTGTGATCAAGAAACTCAAAAGAAGAGACCAAGAATAACTCAAGGTAACCAATTAACCAACACATAGCCACAGATAAATAGACTCCACACAGTGACACTCTGTGCTCCAAGTTCTTTTGGAAGGATAGTAGAAACTGGAAGATATCTCCATCTTACTGACCTCAGAAACGCAGATGAGCAAAACCGCTACTACTAGAAGAGCACGTAACGCCATTTCAGCAAGCTGGAAGTCGCCTAAGTGCAGTAGACGCAGAGAAGTGATTAGCAGACAGAGATTGACGTGGCTCCATCTCTCTTTATAACATTTCCATTGTCAACCCTAGATAGAAACTACCCACGCCCCGCTATTATATTTACGATCCGACCAGACCAATAAGAAAATCTAAACTATGCTGCTCTGCGCACATGGATTAATCTAAACCGTCCAACCACTGGAACCTATGTTAATAGAAGCTGGAGTTGTGCCAACTGCCAAGCTCGTAGAAGATTTCCTGCGACCGTAGACGCATAATCGCCCATGCCGTCGTGAAGCGGTAACAAATGCAATATTGGAACATGGATCTAAATACAATATTGGAAAAGGTGAGAGTGAGAGAGTAAACACAGGAGTGAAGGAATGAATTGGAAAGAAGAATACCGGAGCTGTCGGTTGGGGAGCATTAAAGTGAATAGAACTATTCAAAGTAAAGCGCGCGCGAGCACAGAGCAGAGAGTAGAGCAGGAGATGGAAGGTGTGACAGGGGAGACAGCTAAGCGTGCTTGTCAAATTCACGTCCTTTTCTTCATTACGGCAATGAAATGGTAGTACCCACTGACTGGCTTCACTGGGCATGCGACTTTGGGAAATTACCCTGTCTAGCTCGCGCTTTTTATCTGAGCTCTTGAGTCTAGAGTATGGACTGTGGAGTCAATAAGTAGAATGTGTTCCGTTTAGGTTTTTTTATAATCTTTTAAGCTATAAGATTATAATGCAAAAGCTCACTCCATGACTGTCAAAACTTCGACCTTTAAAAAAATTGCCAAACGGGCTCCGACTTAAAAGCTGGGCCCGGATTTAGGGCTTTCCAGCTCCATCACTTGTCATCAAGCGTTGGGTGACAATAATCAGTAATGATATCCCGAGATCTCGACACGCTTCTGATGCACCATTCCGTCACCTGTGATGGTAACGACACGATGTAGAACTCCCTTTCTCTTCAAAGTCTGTCGTTCATTGTACAGTTACCGGAGATTCAACAATTCACTCAACCCGGCCGTGATGAATAGCGATGTGCTGGAATTGAGTTGTGCTACAGAGGATGGATGTTTTGTCAATATACTCCGACTATTTAATATCTATAGCAGGTTGCGACAGAACAACTTTATTACCCGGCCGTGATGTATAGCATGTATCTGACATCACCGAAGTCCAAGCATTAGATGGAATTAATGAAATTGCACCGGTGCAAAAAGTATGAAAGTATAACTGTGCAAATCATTTAAATGCAATTTCTGATTAATCTTTGTTTCAATTTTTACCTTATTTTGTTTTGTTTGGAATCGGAACGAATCAAAACAAACTCTTAATAAAATATAAAATCAAAATTAAATTGCACGGTTATAAATTAATCCGATCAAAAATGAAAAATCTCTAAAAGAAGAAGTACCAAGATCAGAATTTCTTAGGCCCAAAATACAGGGGGAAATGCATCTGACGGGTAGGATGTGGTTTACGGGGGGAGGGGGCTAATTGTAGGAAGGGATGGAATTCAGAATTACGCATCGTACTTCTCCGTAATAAAAACGGTAGAGTAGTAGGAAATGTGATGAAAAACTAAAACAGAAGAGAATAGGATAGCTCTGAGCGGTAACGTGTAGTCAATTGGCGGCTTGGCGCAAAGGTCGACGGTCAGATATAAAAGTGCAGGTGTTGAGTTTAGGTGAAGTTAGGTGTACAGACTACAGACTTAAAAAAACAAACACAGACACACGCGGGACCCAAAGGTACCTGCTAGGCTGCTACTGCGAGGAGTCCGTACTCTCAGTCTCAGCACGTAATTGTCATCATTTCGTTTCTGTAAAATCGTCGTAATGTTGTTGTGAATTGTGATGAAGGAGTGAGGAGGAATTTGATGAGAGTTGCAGAACAATTACAGCTGGCCCTGTCATGGAAGCCAGCTTTCCAACGTTTCGTACCTTAACCCAGCCCCACGTGGATGATGGTCGATCTGGACCCAACCCTACCCCTACCCTTACCTGGTCCATTAATTAATCATTAACCCACCAGAACAGACCAGAGCGGCAGAGCCTGGCTCTGGCCAAGTGGCCATGGCCCTCTTATAAAAAAATGCTTCCCAATTTTCTCATCTGGTTTTCTGGCCGTTTGTTCCCAATAGAATAATTATCGATTGAGAATCCCTTGGTACTTAGAAGGCTATAACCAGTCTTCAAGCTCAGAGTGTGCGACGGTGTAATACAAATTATGAACAGATAACCAGTTAAAACACCTTTGGTGATCTTGTAAAGCGCTTAGTAGCAGACAAACAAGTTTATTATGCAACCCTCGGATACCCTCACCATTACAGCTTCGGGAGATCATGATAACCACATAAGCTTCATACACATGGTCCAACATCATTGAGAATGATACATCATGATTTGCCTAGTTTCCTCTGGTTCCCATAGAGATTTTGGAGTGAAACACTGCTGTGTGGGAACTTAAATTAGTATTAGAATGTCTTCCAATTTGCCTCTATTCATCAAAAAATTCAACCCAAAAATACCTTGATACATTGAGAAGATGAGACCAATTCTTGATCCTTTGAATGTGTGGTGACATGCTACCCCCAGTCTTGTGTAGCACCTTACGGTCTGTCTATCCAAAATAAGGGGGCGTTCTTTTTTCAGATTTTGAGAGAGTGAAAGTTGGTCAATGAGATTTTGGTTCCCACTGGCCAAGAATCCCTTGTTCTTTTTTTAGATTCATATGGGGCCCAAGGAAAGTTTATTTTCCTAGGTACCACTTACCCAGGTAAGTGATACCCATCTCCTAGGTGGGTAAATAACTTTCTCACCTAAGGAAAGTTGTCAACACTTGAATGGGACAAATATGTCCCTTTTAATAATGAATTTTTATGGCTAAAATGGTCATTGCATTATTTACATGAGAAACAAAAGAATATAGATAAATGCACTTACCTGGGTAAGTGTTTCCCAACAAAAACTTACTCATGTAACTGCATTTACCTAAATAAGTAATTTACCGAAAAACAGGGCCTAAAAGAAAACACCAATTCTAAAGGTGAATTTTATTAAAATTACAACATTGGACTACGTGAAAACTGAAACCCACCGAAAACAAGGTGGTCATATGGATGATATGGACCCGCATTAAGCAAGTGAGCAATCTAATGGATTAGCCTTCTAAAAAAAACAATCTAATGGATTACCCTCTAAATGGAAGAAATTGGTGAACCTTCTTCCTATGTATATACTAATAAAGTCATCTCTATTAACAGATGTACTTGTATACTCACCATTACTTCTCTCATGTAAACCCCATAAACATACAAATACTTGTTTACATTGGGTCCCACTATGATACTGGAAAAAATTATAACCAATAAACTGGTATTAAAGTGGTATCAAGAGGTATTTATCAAAATTTACCAGGGGGTAGAGGTGGGGGTTTGACTGATCCAAGCCCTTCTGTATCATGTCTTTCGGCAGCAAAGATTTTTCTATTTACGTCACACTAGTATACGAAAACATGCTATGGAAGTGTGAAAGTTAGTGTTAAACATAAATGAAATAGTATTTGAATTTAGCTTTTATGACCTGCACAGAACTCAAGACAAATATCCACTTTATAATATTGAAACTAAATTTGTAGTATATAATAATGAGGGTAGTTTTCAATGTCTAAACACTCATGTTTTCAGGTCCAAGTTCCCAAAACCATGAACACACCATCAAAATGCCAAATATGAGAAAACAAGCTGAATCTACATTTCTAACATAACCTAAGATGGTTTTAAACTGGTGCTTTGTTTTGTTTTGAAAAAACCGGGTCCATACTCATTGGAGGTTGCTTGCCAACCTGAGGTTTAAAAAAAATATCATTTTGATCACGTGGCAGTAATTTGTCTAAAACAAAAGAAAAAGAAAAAAAAAAAAGAAACACATATATCAGCAAACACCCCCTTAGACTTCCATCTCAGACAACCAACATACACTAGTAAACTTACTGTAAAAAGCCCTCAAGGGGCCATTGTTTGGTGTAATGGTAAAATCTCAGACTGACAAGCATGAAAACTCGGGTTTTAATCTCAGAGTAGGCGTTGTGTGAAAAACAAGAAAGGAAAAGATAGGTCTATATCCAATCCACCATTACCAAGACCCCAAATTGCTTTGACCAACATTGGCTAGTGGCCTAAACAGAATCTTAATTTAAAAGGGACAGTTTTCTTACGATTGCAGGCGATGACTCCACAGCATACACCCATGGGCCCAAGCTGATGGGTCTTCTCTCACTTGAGCCACAACCCAAGGTTCAAAGTATCAATATGCCCGTGTATCGGCAGAAGCATATCAGTACTAAAAAGTAAAAACCATGCACGTTTATGATTTTCAAAACTTGATTTTTGGGGAGGTATTTTTATTAAAATAAAGGGGATCCACAGCATACACCTATGGACCCAAAGGATACAGTACCATACGCCCGAACCGTATCAATACTTTGAACCTCGCAACAACCCAACCAATATGTTTGCAGAATTCTAGTCCACTTGGCAGAGTCTACAGATCGAATATTCTACAAATACTCTAGACGTTTTTCTTTTAGAATTTTACCCCAAAAGGAGAACTCTACCTGACCATGTGAAAGCATTGTTTTCCATGTTCCCAAGTTGAAAGAAGTTTGTCAGTTTTGCACCCCAATTTCATGGTCATTGTCGGAAAGCCAGAAATTTATATTGTGCACCATATTCTACCATATGAACACTTAAAAATGCAGTACTTTATTTCCCTCGCATGAATAATAGGGGATATCATATTTCTCATCAGAAAAGGATGGATTTCTGCTACATTCCACTGTCAAAACTTCCCAATCTTTCTCCTGTGATTAGAAACTCAACTCGAGTTTAAACCAAGAGAATGGAGCTCTTAGCACTTTAGCACTTTCCGCAACATGAATCAACTGGAAAAAATGGCCTCTGACATGACGGACATCATCATGAAGTATTTACACAAAAAAGAAAAAAGAAGGGATCTACCTGTGAAGTCATCTAGAAAAAAATGTTGACCTCCTTTTCACTCATCTCATACACATGGTCTCTTGCATCTGTCAAGGCACTCTGTACGGTTGCATCAAATTAGACGTGTAAACCTGTTCAAGCAATAAACTGAGAAAAAGTAAGAAGTAAAAGAGAAAGGTGTAGATACCTTCCCAAATTTTGTAAGGAAGTTATTGGCGAGGTTCAAGGATGCAATTGCCACATCTCCATTAGCCTTCAGTGCTTGAGCAATAGCAAATGCCCCATTATCCTGTTTATGCATGCAAAACAATTAAATGCTGCTAGATTTTGCAATATGAGTTAAAATATCAAGAAGCAAGATGTGCATACCCTTATTTCATTAAACCCTAGGTCAAGAGAAGTTAAAGCTTCATTAACCACTTTCAAGCTGCGAGCTAGACCAATAGCACCCTGCAAATAAAGGTAATATAAAATCAATCCAAACATAAGAGAAAGAGACCAAAAAAGCATCTAGCAACACATAATGATATTTCATCCATAGAGACCTACATCGTCTCCAATCCCATTTGCCCGCAAGTCCAGAGTTGATAAGGTTGTATTGTATTTCAAAGCATCTGCTATGAATTCTGCGCCTTTTGCCCCTATCTGCAAAAAGTTCAAATCTTCATTGTCAAAAGCTACTTTGAATTGGTGGCAGGGGGTGTTACTTTGACTCATCATAATGAGATTGTCCGAGCCTTTGTGGATCACTTCAAATCAATCTTTAGGAGACCTTTGGATGGAAGAATGTAGCTTGATGGTTTAGATTGGCCCAAATTGACTGAAAAATGCGCCTCGCCTAGGTCCTAAGTGAAACCCTTTCAAAAGGTGTATGCCTGATGCGCCTTGCGGCTCAGCTCAGGTATGTGCCTTTTGAAAATTTCTTTTGTTTTTTTTAACCTAGTGGCTGGGCCGGGGGCTCCGCCCCTGGACCCCTGTACCATGCCCCTCAAGGCAAGCCCAAACAAGAGCTCCCAGCCTCCTGGACCCCCGTACCATGCCCCTCAAGGCAAGCCCAAACAAGAGCTCCCAGCCTCGAGGGCGTAGAATTAGGAATGTAATATGTTTTACATCACATTAGCTACTTGAAGTAATGCAATTGAGGAAAAAAAGAGATTGTGGGTTTTACATGCTTGAAAAAATGTTTTATATGTTTTGATTTTATTTTTAAATTTTCATTTGAATATGCCTTACATGTTATGTTTATGTAATTTAATTTTAGATAATAGGCTTTTTAAAACATTTATTTTAAAATTTAAGTTTATATTTTTTATTAATATTATGTTTAATATTTTCATTTTATTGCTTCTTATTCTTTTGACATTGTTTTTGAATTTTCTGACTTTTTTTTAGCATTTTTTTTGTATTTTTGCGCCTTGCCTTGTACCTCAAGCGCAAATTGGCCCCTACGCCTTGCGCTTTTAAAACACTGGTATTACCTTCCTTGATCTCATCATCCTAAGGGACCTTTGTTAAGGATAGGCAAATTATTGATTAGATCTTAATTGCCAATGAACGTGTTGAAGAGATAAAGAGATCAGAAAGGAAGGGACTGATTTGTAAATTGGATTGGAAAAAAGCTTATGATTTGGTTGAATGGGGCTTTTGGTGTAAGTTAAGAAAAATTTTGGTTTTGGTGATGGATGGTGCAAATGGATCTCAGGATGTATCAAGACGTGCCATTACTTGATTTTGGACAATAGAACTGTGGTGGATCATTTCCAAGCCATTAGGGGAATAAGGCAAGGGGACCCCCTTTCCCCATTCTTGTTCACATTGACTGCAGAAGTTCTTGGGAAATTGATTTCTAGGGCTGATGCTAGGAATTTGGTGGGGGGCTGGAGAATTCGTAGAGAGAAGATTCTTATCACCCACCTACAATTTGATGATGATACGATTTTGTTTTGTGATAGAAATGATTCAAGATGGGTGAGAAATTTGAAGATGGTAGTGCTTATTTTTGAAACAATGTCAGATTTAAAAGGGAATTAGGATAAGAGTTGTCTTGTGGGCTTGAACATGGAGGATAGACAAGTTATAGAAGGGGCTGAGTTGTTAAGAGTGCAAGGTGGATCACTTGCATTTGAACTATTTGGGTTTACCTTTGGGGGATAATCCAAGGGGAAGTCACTTTTGGAACCTGATAGTCGAGAGATTTTCCAAAAGACTGGCTTCTTGAAAGAAAAGCTACTTGTCCTTGGGGGATAGGATAACCCTAATTAAGTCCACTCTAGCAAATTTGCCAATTTATTTCTTGTTTGCCTTTAGGATTCCAGGAGGGGTTAGCAAGAAGATAGAAAAAATGATGAGAGATTTCTTGTGGGAGCCAAGTTAGTTGGGAGGTGGTAGGAGTAAGAAGTTTGATGGGCTAGGGTTGGGGAATACTTGGGAAAAGAATTTGGCTGGCTTTACTAGCTAAATGGCTTTGCAGATTCCCATTTGACAAGGATAAGTTGTGGGTGAAAGTGATTATTAGTATTCATGGACTTGCAGCTAATGATTGGGAGCATCTATGGTTGGAAGTCTATCCGTGCCATTCTTCCTTCATTCTTACCATTTGCTAGGTATAATCCTTGCTTTGGTAATCTTGTTAAATTCCGGGAGCATCTATGGTTGGGTAATTTAACCCTCAAAGAGCAATTTCCTTCAATTTATGCAACCCCTAACTGGAGGGATGAACCTATGTGACTCCTTCCAACTCTTTTGGATATGTTTGGGATTTGGGCCTAAGGAGAGGTCCAAGGGACTGAGGCCAATAGTGCTCTTACCTTTATCCAAAGCCTTGAGGGAAAGTGTATTTGGACCCCTCAAGAAGTGACTTTTGAATCTGGACTCTCTCCCTATCAGATACCTTCACATGCGCTTCTTTCTTTGTGTTCCAAACACAAATGAATGATATTCGTAGCCAACTTTTTTCAAATTAATGAGGTTTGGGGTAAGCTTATTCCACCTAGGATTGATGGCTTCTGTTGGGAAGTGATTCTTGGTAGTGTTAATACATGTGATTTTCTCCAAAGGAAAAGACCTAACTGGTGCTTATCTCCTCACCGGTGTCTCCTCTATAAGGCTAATGGGGAGTCTTCCCATCACTTATTAATATCTTGTCCTTTTGTATCTCCAATATGGGAATGGTTTCTTTTCTTGTTTGGGTGCAGGCGGAATCCCCTGCCAAATGTTCAAAGCTTGTTTGATCCTACCTTTGTTAGCTGGCAGAAAAGAAGGGGTAGAATTTTATGGAGGAATACGAGAACTGTTGTGTGTTGGACAATATGGGAAGAAAGAAATCAAAGACTATTTGCAGAAAAAGAAAAGAGGTAGGGAAGTCCTAACTCAAGCAATTACAACTAGAGTGATCCATTGGATGAAGACTTTGAAAATCTTTAAAGGAGTCCCTAATGCTCATCTGATGAGAAAGTGAAGGTAAGTGGTTGACTCTGCTCCATTAAAAGTTGTTACAAGACTGTCCTAGACCCCTCCAACCAATGGATTTATTATGCTAAATTATGATGGTAGTAGTGAAGGTAATCTAGGACCATCAGGCATAGGAGGTCCTTGTAGAGACGAGGATGCAGAATTAGGGCTCTTTTGCTTGGCCTTATTGGAGTGAGTGATTCTTTGAGAGCTGAAATCTTTGCTGAACTCACAAAGCTCTATTTGATAAATAATTCAGAAAGCTTGTTATTGACTGGCTTCAAAAGGAAGAGATGGGATGGTGGGATTACATAAATGAAAAAAAGGAAGTCCAGGTATCTAACACAAGGAATGGAAATTCATCTGAACTGGATTAAGAGATGAAAACTGCTTGGCCAATGTATTGGCTAAGCAAGGGGTGGGAAGAAGCAATATTTTCTAGGCTATGTTGTATTCCTTTTATTTACAATTTGAAGGAAGCTAAGAGAGTTCATCTCCCCTCTCCATTTTTTACCAGCAACTCAAAGAATTTCCCTCTATGACTTCTTTAATCGTTTTCAATGAAATTCTTTCAGTTATCGATAAAAAACTACTTTGAATTTGAATTAACATCAGTAGAAAGATATGGATTACCTGACACCAACCAAGCTTGAGGGTTTCTATCTTTCCGTGAAACTTAAGAACTTCAGATAAAGCCTTTGCTCCATCTGGTCCAATGGGATTGTAGCCAAGTTCCAACTGCACACCAAAAAAATGCAGTAAGGATATTTATGTGCTAAAATATAAAAAAAGATAGAAACAGAAGAGGACTTACAGTTGTAATGACAGAATTATCTTTCAAAACTTGAGCAATGTCACTAGCCCCCTTAGCATGAATGTTGTTCCCCCCCTGACAGAGTCCACTCAATCAAAAACCTTGAGAAAATGTTGGTTTAAGACCCTTCAAGTTTCAATAAGTAAACGTGCAACAGTAAAAGAATCATAAGATGCATGTTAAGCTCACCAAGTCTATGGTTGTAATTGAGCGGTTCTGCTTCAAAGCATCTGCAATTTTTTCAGCTCCCTGGTTCATCATAAGTATTAGATCACTCAACAATGAAATAGCACATTTATCACCATCTCATTAGTATTTCCAAAGGTGCTTTAATGGATATATAAACAGAAAGTACCATGAAATGGGACTGGATAATGCCGTGGATATCGTTTAAGACAACAATAGGTCATTTTCTTCCTTTTTTTCCTTTAGGCTACATTTGTTTGGGGTGGAAAATCGAACCGGGGTAAAGTTTACACCTGGGTTCGATTTTACTGGTGTTTGGTAAACATGTAATTTTACACTGAAAATCGGTGTAAAATTTCATTTTGAATTTTATTTACATCGATAATCAATGTAATATATACATCAAAATTATTGATGTAAAATTAACCGCTCTTTCTTCCTCTCTTCTTCTTCTCCCCCCCCCTTTTTTTCTCTTTCTGTCACTGCCGCTGCAACCCAGTTGCAGTGGCAGATCTGAACCCACCTCCGAAGGGAGAGCCGGCGAGGACCCAGAAGGAAGAAAAAGCGCTAGTCCAGTTGGCCCCTTCGGCTGCGGTTGGCTCCGTTGCGAGTGATCTCTCTCTCTCTTCTCCTCTCTTCTTCTTCCTCATTCCCCCTTTTTTTCTCTTTCCGTCACCGCCGCTGCAACCACTTGCAACGGCAGATCTGAACCCACCTCCGAAGGGAGAGCCGGCGAGGACCCAGAAGGAAGAAAAAGCGCTAGTCCAGTTGGCCCCTTCGGCTGCGGTTGGCTCCGTTGCGAGTGATCTCTCTCTCTCTTCTCCTCTCTTCTTCTTCCTCATTCCCCCTTTTTTTCTCTTTCCGTCACCGCCGCTGCAACCACTTGCAACGGCAGATCTGAACCCACCTCTGAAGGGAGAGTCGGAGAGGACCTAGAACAAGGTAGTCCAGTCGACCCCTTTTTTCTTCTTTTTCCTTTTTCGTTCTCTCTTCTCCTCCTCCTTTTTCTTCTTCTTCCCCTGCTTCCCTCCTCCTCTGCACCATCTCACCGAATTTACACCTTGGCAATTAAACAAGGTAGGTGTAAATTTTCAAAATCAACCGGTTTTAATTTCCACCGATCACTAAATTGGTTCATTTTTTCCATGGTGTAAAATTTGAATTTACACCTCAAACAGAAGGTGATTATAACCAATCACTGTACAAAAGAGAGACTTAGTTTCTATTTCTATAGTTAAAACAGTTTTATAGTTATTATCATAATCACACCACCTTCTCCCAGCTGTCAGGCCAGAAAGAAATGGTTTGCAAACGGTTCTTGACAAAGTCAATGGTCTAAGTCAAATCATTGTTTGGGGATTAATTTGAACACTGAAAGCAAATTCCTTGGTGGTACAAATGATTCATCCATCTATCTAGTTCAACCCAGTTTCAGAAACACATGTTAAATGCTCTGTTCATGATAATATAAAAGCTCATTGAACTAGCCTAAGACTAAAATTGACACTCTGTTTTCTGTTTGCAGCATTTATTCACACTAGTTCACATAACCCTTCATCACAAAGTACATAACTACAAATACTATCTTTTTTATAATCAACAGAATGACTTTAATTCATTAACGAAGAAACCATGCTGTCCAAAAATGGGTAGCAGGTGATAGTTGATAAAAATAAGAAAAAACAAGAATTACAGCAGCATATACTAGAAGGGTGAGAACAAGATATGTTAAACATTAATACCTCATCACCAATGTCATTCATGTAAAGATTCAACCATAACAAGCTCTTGCTTTTCTTGATAAATTCAGCTATGTGGTAGGCACCTTTTGGACCAATTTCATTGTTGCTAATGTCCAGAAGTGTAAGTTTCCCTGCAAGCAACCATGCATAATAGATACACATTAATTTGGAATTACAGGCTGCAAGGTAGAAACAAGGGCAAAGAGGAGATTGATATAGAGAATGGCAAACCTTTGTGTGTTGATAAGCTTAACATCAAAGCCCGGACACCCTCATTACCAATAGAATTTCCATTCAAATGAAGTTCCTGAACATGCAGTTAACCATGAGATATTCAACCCATGAATAGTGGAAGTTCATGTCTCTATCGCATAAAACATGTGCATGGTCATTCTGTTATCACAAATAAAGTATAGCAGGTATTTATGTGTAAGTGTGGTTTCCATCTTTTTGTTATATTTTTGATCTTTTGTGGGAAGAGCAAAAGCTTATATCTGAACATGTATAACAAGAAACAGAAAAATAGGATTCATTTAGCCAACCCAAAATAGTTGGGCTAAATTTTTGCTTTTAGTTCATTTGAGTAAGAACAGAAATTAATGCATGCTCCAAATGAGAAAAAGAAACAAGGACAATGATCTAGAGCAGGTCCCAAGAGAAGTATCCATTTTTGGTTTAGGGCCCAGAGGACTTCACACAGTCCCACCAAACCCAACACTGATACTAGAACCTCAGTCCTGGACCAGCCTAATCTAAGGTCAAGGCCCAAGTTAACCAAGCCAGGCCAGACCCAAATTGAGTTAAGCCCAACAAAACTCAGGCTGGCCTCGGGCCTGAGCAGCTCAGACAGGCCTAGGCAGATTGGTTGGGTTTTAAGGTTTTCTTGCTCATTTTTTGAGCTTCCAGCTTTCATTTTGGTTTTATAACTCAAGTTCCTGTGGTGATTCGTGGGGATTGGGAGAGAGAGAGAGAGAGAGAGAGGAAGAGAGAGGTACGGTTGAGAGGGAAAAAGTAACTACTGGCTGCCGCCAGTTTTCTATTTATATTAACTTCATAAAAGAATCAGAAATTACAAGTATGCCCCTGGTGGCATATCCTAGAATCAGAATAATAAGAAAAAAGAAAGAAGAAAAAAGTAACTGTAGCTGTCCAACAGCTATAAAGTAACAATTAAGTAAGCCTTACAACACTCCCCCTCAAGTTGGGCTGAAGATGTCTATCATGCCCAGCTTGTCACATAACTCATTGTGC